TAAAGATGATAAAGGGAGAAAAAAATTTTTAAAAAGTGTGGTATTATTGAAGGTTGACATTAACACTAATTAATTTGTCCAAGATGTTATGAAGATACATGGTAATAGGAAAGGGTATGAGCTGGAAGTCTAAACATGGAACTGAGTCAGAATCATAAGGCTGAGATGAGAGTGTGTTCTGGTCCTTGTGGCTACATAGTCACCTGATTATTCCACTTCTTTTTTCCTGTTTATTAAATAAATACCAGTTTACTAATAACAATAGCTAACATTTATCAATTTTTTGTATATGCCATGCTAAATAATTTTTACTTGAACTATTGCTAATCACTGTGAACTATTAATCACCATGTTAGTAACATACTGCTTTGTATGATAAGCTATTTTCAGTTTGACTTGGTGGTTTGCTAGTGCATTACAGCATGCCTGTTAAACTTTCCTGCTGTCTATTCAGGATGAATTGATTTTTCTAGATATAGCAGTAAAGGCATTCTTGTAAAAAGCAGTTATTTTGCCCTTTCTGTATTGTAGAATTGCAGTATATTTGAAGTGTTTGATACGGATTATTACTTTATAAATTTAATAATAAAAATGAGAATAAGAGTTATTGGGCACACCCTTAAAGGGATCACAAAATTATTGGAATCGAAAACTCCTAAAATGTTTAGAGATCCAGTCAGGTCAGGTATGGTAGTGCATACCTGTAATGCCAGCACTAGGGAGACTGAGGCAGAGAATTGAGAGTTATGGGTCAGTCTGGGCTACATAGCAAGACCTTGTCTCACAGTACTCCCTTGCCCTAGAAAAAGAGCGGGAGAGGGCGGTGTTTAGACTTACTGGGTCTGAACTGTGGGTAGGAGCCAGGATGAAGTAGGAAGTAATGGAAACACACTTAATCTTTGGCTGCAGTTTTAGACAATGCATTTTTTTATATTGTTGTTTCATTAGCCTCATTTGACCTAAATATAAATATAATAATAATGAGTGGCATGAGCATTTTGTTTGTGTGTGTGTGGAAGGTAGTTGTAGGGTGGGGATGACGTAGTTGTTAGGGAAGAGAGCAGAGGGATCTTTCATCTATTTATTTGAAATGGTAAGATAATGTACTTTTTATCACGTATGCCTTTTTTGTTTGTTTTTGCGTTGCTTGGATTGAACCCAGGACCTTGGGCGTGCTTATCAAGCACTTTGTCACTGAGTTACATACCCAGCCCATAGCATGCTGTTTTGAAGTACATTTACCTTGTGCAATGGCTATCTTCTTTCTTGGTTTCTTGGAGTCCTTCCTTACTTTTACACTAATCAGTAGGTACCAGTAATATTAAAGTGTTAAGTGGGGAATCTATTTCATTTGTTTAACAATTGGGATTTATCAATAAAAGTATCAGCAGAAATAGAGCACAGAGAGAAAGTTTCCTTCGTGTTTTTTCTTTTTTATGATTAAAATTTTAAAAAATTGTACAAGGGCTTTCATTACATTTCCATATGTATATATAATGGGTTTTAATCATATTTACCCCCTCTATTGCTCTTTCTTATTCCCCACTTTCCCTTTCCATACCCTAATAGTACCCCTTTTACTTTCATGCTCCACACCCTCCCCATTCCACATATGAGAGAAAACATGCAATTTTTGTTTTTATGAGACTGGCTTCTTTCACTTAATGTGACAGCCTCTAGTTTCATCCATTTTTCTATAAATGGCATAATTTCATTCTTTATAACTGAATAAAACTCCATTTTGTATGTATGTGTGTTTATAAAATCACATTTTCTTTATCTGTTCATTTGTTGATGGGCACCTAAGCTGATTCAATAACCCGGCTATTGTGAATATTGCAGCAATAAATGTGGGTATGCAGGTATCTCTATTGTATATTGACTTAGATCTTTCAGGTATATACCCAGAATTGGTACAGCTGGATCATATGGAAGTTCTGTTTTTAATGTTTTGAGGTAACTCCATACTGATTTCTGTAGTGGCTGGATTAATTTAATGTTCATACCAAATGTATTACAAGGGTTCCTTCATGCACCCTCCCCAATATTTGTTCTGATGATAACTATTCTGGGGTAAGATGAAATGTGTAGTTTTAGGGGAGAGGTTTTTTTTTTTTTTTTTGTCTTTTTCTTTTTTGGTGCTGGGATCGAACCCAGGGCCTCAGGCATGCTAGGCAAGCGCTGTACCACCGAGCTACATCCCAGCCCGAAATGTGTAGTTTTAATTTATATATTCCTGATGGCTTCAGACATTGAATTTTTTTTTTATGTATTTATTAGCTATTTGTACTTCTTTTGAGAATTGTCAGTTCAGTTTATTTGCCTGTTTATTGATTGGATCAATTGCTCTTTTGGTACTTAATTTTTTGAGTTCTTGTATATTCTGGATATCAATCCTTTGACAGATAAGTAACTGTCAAAGATTTTCTCCCATTCTGCAGACTGTCTTTACTCTGTTGATTATTTCTTTTTCCTATTCAGAAGCTTTTAAATTTAATGTAATCCTATTTGCCAATTCTCCCTATTATTTCATATGTCCTATTCATAAAGTTGTTTCCTTCCAGTACTTTCAGTGTTTTGGTTTGTACATTAAAGTCTTTGATCCATTTTGATTTGATGTTTGTACAAGAGATAGGGGTCTAGTTTCCATCTTCAACAGTGGGTATCAAGTTTTATTAGCACCACTTGGTAAAGAGGCTTTTTTCCAATGTAAATTTTGACACCTTTGTCAAGAATTAGATTGCTGTAGCTACGTGGACTTATTTCTGGATCGTCTATTCCATTGGTCTGTGTGTCTCATTTTTTGTGCCAGAACTATGCTATTTTTGTTACCCTGGCTCTGTAGTACAGTTTGAAGCCAAGTATTGCAATACCTCCAGCATTGCTCATTTTGTTCAGGATTGCTTTGGACTCTTTGAGGTCTTTTATGATTCTATGAGAATTTTGGGATTTAAAAAAAATTTCTGTGAACAATATCATTGGAATTTGATGGAAATTGATTGAATTTGTGTATTGCATTGAATCTAAATAATTTTTGGTAATACCCATTTTCACAATATTCTGATGTATGAACATTGGAGGTCTATCCGTCTTCAAGTGTCTCCTTCAGTTCTTTCCTATGTGCTTTATAGTTTTTATTGTAGATGTCTTTAACATTTTTGGTTAAGTTTATGCATGACTTTTTTTTTTTTGAGGCTATTGTGAATGGGATTGTTTTCTTCACTTCCATTTCAGAGAGTTCATTGTTACCATATAGAAAAGCTACTGGATTTCTGTATGTTGATTTTGCATCCTGCAACTTTGTTGAAAGTGTTTATCAGATCTAAGAGTTTTCTGTTGGAATCTTCCAGATTTTCTAAGTATAGTATCAAATCATCTGCAAACAGGGATAGTTTGATTTCTTTCTTTCCTATTTGTATCCTTTTTATTTGTTTCTCTTGCTTTGTTGCTCTGGCTAAGATTTCAAGCACTATATTGAACAAGAGTGATGAGAGTGAAAATAGGGCACAGGCTGATCTTGAACTCTCAATCCTCTTGCCTGTACCTCCTGATGTACTGGGATTACAGGAATGTACCACCAGGTCTGGCTAAATTCTTTCATGACTTTAAATGGCAAATATGAGATAATTGTACATATCCCACTTTCAATAAATTCCCCAACTGCCTTTTTCTTAAAAAGTTATCAGACCTTCAGATGATTAGATATCATTACTTTGATAGATATTTGTCTCTCAAAGTGACTCCTTACTGTTAATGAAATAGAACTTAAAGCAGGGATAATTTCCTCTTTCAGTCATGGATTGTGCTATAATACTGTTAAATCTGTAATGATGCTAGTCTGGAGATGTCATGGGACTGAGCACAAATATGAGGTTTAGTTTATTATTTGTTCTCAGAGGAGTATATATCCTCATTGCAGGGAACTTTGAAAAATGAATGGATGGAAATTAATGGACCATAATTCTAATCATTGGTATATTTTTCTAGTTTTTTTTTTCCTGTGTTATAAAAATCAGTTAAATTGAGCATTTGTATTTGGGGAGGGGATGATCCTTAGAGGTAATCTCAGATCTTGGTCAAAAATTGTAGTCAAATTGTCACTGTGTAGGATAGTTTATAGTAGGGAACTGGAACCTTTGCAGGCCTAGGTAACCAGACAATTGCTGATTAGTACTGATAGATATTGCCTGAGGGGTATTATGGTCATAGCCTGAAAGGCTGGGTTGATGGTGGAGCAAAGAAGTGAGTCAAGGGTTTGTGTTTCAATAGAAACAGTTGCCAGGCTTGGAAAGAGTAGGCATTCATTATACGTATATCAACTGTTGAACACCAGGTTGTTTTTTTTTTTGTGCAGTACTGGGGTTTGAACTCAGGGCCTCACACTTGCTAGGCAGGCATTATTACCACTTGAGCCACTCTGCAGCCCCCAGGACCTACACTTCTATCCTTCCTGTTTGGCTGTTATTTCAGTCTGATGGTAATGGACTGTCCTAATCAGAGAACTTGTTGAATTTTGCTCATAATAATTAAGAAAAGAGGAAATAGCAGTATTGGGAGTGAGTTCAGTTGTGGGATAAATAGCTTAAATAATCCAGTATTTAAGATTGTCAGGGCTAGTGAAGTGGCTCAAGTGGTAGAGTGCCTGCCTAGCAAGTGTGAGGCCCTGAGTTCAAACCTAAGTACTGCCAAAAAGAAAACAAAGAGTTCCGAAAGTGGGTTGACATTCTTTCAGTTGTACAAAAGAAATTTTAAAGGCTTAAAATGTTTCCTTGTATATATGTGATTTTCTGTTATGCTATACATGAGTCAGTCACAGTTTGTGTACTAGGTTTAGTAAAGCATCTTGCTTTTTTTAAACTTAGAATTTCCTGGAATACAATGGATTTCTGGAGAGCTTGTATATTTGTATAGCAACTTGTAGCTGAAATACTAATTTATTTTCATAACTTCATTTATAAAGAAAATTATTACTTGTTAACTAGTATTGTTTTGTTTTCCAGTTTCTCTTCAGCAACGGGTAGAAGAATTGGAAAAGATTAATGCAGAATTTTCACGTACACAGCAGCAGCTTGAGCAAGAATTTAATCAAAATAGAGCAAAATTTAAGGAACTATATTTGGCTAAAGAGGGTAAGTTCTTAAGTCTTTCTCTAACTCCCATGCTAAAGCTACCTTAAAATGTTTTTTGGAAGTGTATTAATTTTAGTGTTGGATAAACCTTGATTTTGTGTTGTATTTCATGTAATGAAAGAATATTACTTGGAAGCTAGAGACAAAAAGCTAGTGAAAGATGCCTTATTCAGATTTTTCCTTGTTTTTTGACCTTAAGTGTTGATATTTAGTTACAGTAGGCTGCATAGTCCTGAGACATGAGACTTTCAGTACTTTTAATAATTGAGATAGTCTTGGGCAAATCAGGATTGATGACATTCTTTTTTTTTTTTTGGGAGTGGGGTACTGGGGTTTGAACTCAGTGCCTACACCTTGAGCCACCCCACCAGCCCTTTTTTGTGATGGTTCTTTTGCGATAGGGTCTCATGAACTATTTGCCCAGGCTAGCTTTGAACCGTGACCTCCTGATCTCTGCCTCCTGAGTAGGGTTACAGGTGTGAGCCACCAGGGCCTGACTGACTGATGGCATTCTAATCATAGCTTTTGCCCTGTTATATTAAAACTGACATGTGGTGGAATTATTTCAACAAGTGTTATTTGTCAGTAAGTATTTATTAATTACCTGATACGAGGCAGAAATTGTACTTAGGTGCTGGCTGTACAGACAGAGCAAGATCCATGTGGTTCTTTAACTTGATTGAAACAAAGGTGAGGAAAACAGATGTAGAGTAATTGTTATGAGTTGTTCAAAAAGAAAATGTATAAGGCAACTACATGAGTGGATATGATGGGGAACCTCATTTAAAAGGTTATGGAAAGTGTTTGCATTCTGGGACTTGAACTAGCATAGATGGATGTGGTTTCCATAGTCTTTTGAGTGGTGGCTCCCAGATGTGATTGTGGAACAGCAGCATCAGCATCACCATCACCCGGAAAAGTTGTTAGAAATGTAAATGTTTGAGTCCCATCCTACATTTGCTGAGTCAGAAACTAGGCTCGGGAGGACCCTGATTAGTGTTAGCAAGCTTCCAGGGTGACTCAAATCACATTAAAATTTGAAAATGTCTGTACTCTAGTATAGTGGTCCTCAAACTTTAACATGGATAAAATTAGCCTGAACTGATTAAGCACAATATATTTGGGTAGTGGCCCAGAATTTTCATTTCTAGTAGCTTATAGGTGATTCTAATTACTGCTAGTCCAAGCACCACAATTTGAGAACTCCTGCTGTAGACTAGTGATCATACAACTTTTTAATTTATATACTTAATAAAATATTTACATATTTTTATACATTACATTTTTTAAGTTGATGCTTAAAAAGTTTTTTTCTTTTAATTTTGGTGGTACCAAGTTTGAACTCAGGGCTTCATGCTTATTAGGAGGCATTCTACTGCTTGAGCCATACCTCCAGTCCAGTGTTTCAAATTTTTATGTTTAAAAATTTGTGACTGAGCCTGCAGTGGTGGCTCACACCTGTAATCCTAACTACTTGGGAGATTGAGAGTGGGTTAAGGCCAGCCCAGGTGAAAAGTTCATGAGACTCCCATTTCAGCCAGTAGCCAGGCCCTGTGGCGCGGCACAGTAGGAAGATCCAGGTCCAGGCCTGCCTGGGCAAAGAAAAAGTGAGAACATGTCACCAAAATAACCAGAGCAAAGTGGGCTGGAGGCTTGGGTCAAGCAATAGAGCATCTACCTCTCAAGAGCCACACCCTGAGTTCAAACCCCAGAACCACCAAAATTAAAAAAAAAGGAGAATGATACATTTTATGATATTGTCAATACAACATTTAAATTAAAACTTCATGATATTAAACATATCCAGTGGAATCAAAATATTGTAGTGATTTAATAATGTCCAATCACCATTTAACAAACCATGAACAAACTTTTTAGCCAAAATTTATGTTGCTTCCCAAAGTGGTTCTGAAAATTGAGTGTGCATCAGAATTTCCTGTAAGGTTTGTTAAAGATTGCTGTGCCCTATCCCCAGTGTTTTTGATGTACTAGGAGCCCGGGATCCCACTATTAGCATTTTTAACAAGCTACCAGGTGATGGTGATGTTACTGGTTTAGGTGCCACAATATTGCGGTTTTTTATTTTTATGATAGAAGTAAGTGCTGAGAACCCTTGATCTCGTAAATAAGTAGATAGAAATGGATGGACCTTATCATAGCAGTTATTTAATTCTCAACTTTTTCTGAATTATATTAAATTATGTAGTGCTTTAGCTTCTAAATTCTAGCAGCTAACAGTTCAATTAGGTCTTCCTTTAATTTTGTTGGAAGTGTACTTTATAATCACCTAGCTTTCAAAAGATTTGTTACATAGTTGTTAGTTTTTTTATTTTCCCTTGGGTCTATGTGGGGAAAATGGCCAAGCTTAGGCTAATTGCTGAATGCAGGTGTACTAAGTATATCCAGTAGATAATGACACAGCTCCTTATGTAACTACTCAAGGTCAGCTAGTTATGTAACTATGGCTAGGCTTGCATGCACAGCAGATGTAATAACTTGGCTGAATGCTGGCTTTGTCTATACTTGTATGTAAACCATTACACCGAGCAGCCTGTGCAAGGGAAATAAAGCATGTCAGATCTTCCTACACTTCTTGCCTTTTCTTCAGATTGCCAAAATCTCGGATTGAGCTGCCTGGGGAGAGCACTTGACCTATAATTGGCAAAGTCGGCAGGATTTGGAGCAGCCTGGTATGGGGTCATCAGTACCCTGGGGGATGGGATTAGAGGGATGGCCTACCACTGGGATGTAGTTCTCAGTGGCAAACCTGTTGGCAGCATAGGGTCCGCCCCACGCCAGCGATTGATGGCACACCAGCCAACCTAGAGAAAGCCTTCACGTTGGTGGGCGAGATGCTAGAAAAGTGAAGTGCCAGGGCAGCCACAGGGTCTGGGTGTTCCTTAAAAGGCTAAGAAATGCCACAGAACATGCCCTCACCAAAGCGGCTAAGTTGCAAGAGCTACAAGACAAGGAGGATGCCCTAGAACTGTGTATCCAGGCTCTGGAGCTGGACTTGCAGGCAGTGAGTGCCAGCATCCAGGTAATACCTGCCGCTCCGATAGTGGTCAACATGTCTCATAAAGAGGAGGTGCCTGACAGTCCATTTTGTGCCTGGAAGATGATAATCCAGTAAATGAAACAACAGCTAGAGGGACAGGTAGCTGGGCCACCACAGGTGAGAGAATTTCCATCTGTCACCCCTATATGCAAGTGGAATCATTGGATCTGGGTAAACAGTTCTGGTAAAATATCAGAGCCGGAGAGCAATTAGTAGCATGGTTACTATGCTTATGGGATGTGGAGGTGGGAGGTGTAGATGGAGTGGTTTTTATGGCTCAGGAAGTGGAGAGTCACCCTACCCTTGCTAATACATTTTTCTCCATAGATAACATCCCACAGAATCAAGAACAGTTTGCTATTATTTGGGAAGGGTGGCAATGGACTTTTACTGTGTTGCCTCAGTGCTATTTGCATTGCCCGACCTTTTGTCATGGGATGATGGTGGCTGACCTTGGTAAATGAAGCCACCTGTCCACTGTGAAATTAATTATATTGATATTTTGTCAATCAGTGATTTTCTTACAGACTTGGGAGAGTGCTGTTCCTCTCCTGCTTACACATATGTAGTCATGAGGATGGCTTCATCAACAACAAGCTGCAAAGGCCTGGCTTGTCTGTCAAATTCTTGGGTACTGTCTGGTTGGGTAAGACTAAAGTAATTCTTGATGCCATTACAGATAAGGTTCAGGCCTACCCCACACCCACAGTAGTTAAGCAGCTCCAGGTGTTCTAAGGTCTCTTGGGATACTGGCTGGCCTTCATACTCCATCTGGCAAACTCCTACGGCCACTCATATGGGAAGGTACAGGACTTAGGAGACAAAGACCGCCTTTAGAGCCACTAAAAGGGTAGTGAAAACTGCACAGGGCCTACATGTGATTGACCCTTTTAGACCCCATAAGCTGGATGTGGATATAACCTCTGAAGAATTTAGATGGGGCTTTTGGCAGAGATCTGAAAGACTATGACAGTTCATTGGGTTTTGGTCACAACTATGGAAGGGAGCAGAGATACAGTACTTCCTTATTGAAAAGCAATTGGCCACTGTGTATGCTGCTCTGCTAACTTCAGAGACCATTATTGAAACTGCCCATGACAGCGTGCACAAGCTGCCTTTTTGTGGGTTGGATAGAGATTGGGTGACCAAATCCCACAGTGGCATGGCACAGATTTCCACCCTTGTTAAATGGGGGGCATATTTACAACAGAGGGGAACATTATCTACTAGTCCCGTACAAGCCAAATTTCAGGCTGTGTTAGGCTCAGGGTTGTAGGTTAGTGAGCCTTTGGAAAGGGCTACACCAGATTCTGAACCTCTACCTAATCCTTATGAGGAAGGTGGGGCCCCTGTACTGGCAGATGTCTGGTATATGGATGGTTCCTGCTGTAGACAACCAGTTGCGCGGACTGTAGTGGCCATCCAACTGAGCACAGATACTATATGGTATAATGCTGGAGTGGGTTGAAGTAGTCAGTGGGCCAACCTGTGAGCAGTGTGGCTTGTGATTATGAATGAACCCAGTCCACTATCTGTCTGTACTAATAGTTGGGCTATGTACTGAAGACACTGGGTGACTGGTGGCCCACTGTCCTTTGTGGGGGCAAGCCTTATAGCAGAACCTTTGGACAGTGGGACATCAAAAACAGGTGACTGTGTAACTGGACATATGCCTATGTCCTCACTGGGAAACAATGAGGCTGTCTTAGATTCCTTACAGCCTCCAAAGTGGTGTGTGTGCCCTTGTAGGATCAGAATGTTGTGTATATATACACATACCTGATGCCCATGACAATGTTACCCAAGCTCTACATACCTTAGAAAGAAAAACACTTAATGTAGGCGCCCTGACAGGATTCTCTCCATGAATGGCAGGCATCCCTCACATCATTGTGGCATACCATTATTGCTGCCATAGCTGGCAGTGCCTGCCTGCTGGTTG